GTCAGGGAACTTTCTGAAGGCTCAGTTACTCAGACCAGGCTGATTTTTATTATTATTATTATTATTATTATTTAATATGGTTTTTTTAAGAACTATACTTGGGTTACCCCCCATTTGTCATAGGCTCAAAGCAAGTATCACCTAATATAGATCAGGTGCTTCATGGTAATGTCACATCCCAGAATAACCTTTTCATTTGACTGTGCCTTTGGTAAAGCAAGGAAGCCTGGAAGCTTTTTCCTCATTCTGTGTTCCTCCTCAGTCTTAGCAAGCCCCAATTGTAACACAGTGGCACGTTGGTTTTGTTTTGTTGGTCTTTTTTTCCCCCAGGAGATATGAATTAACAGAATACTTTCAGGACAGGGCTTAAGATCTAGGCAGCAGGACAGTCCCTGTCCAAACACAAAAAATGACTGGAAGAATAACCAGTGCTGGGTGTGAGCTGGCTACTGAACCGACAGCTGCCTGGGATGTGCCCATAACACGCTCTGAGGCTGTTCAGAATTTTGGGATTTGGTTTTGTTTATCTGGGTGCTGCTGAAGAAGCTTTCCTTTCCCTGGTATTTTAAAGGCATGTGTTGTGACCTGTCACTTGCTAGATTTGTTTGATGTGAAATCTGAGTCTGGCTATGGAAAAGCACACTGCAGGAATGTGTTTATTTTGCTCTCTGCTGGAGGTAACACCGAACAGCTTAATTTCCAGTTTTCTTGTAGTTTCAGCTCAGTGTTGTGTTGTAAATGTAATAATCACATTTAGGAGGAAAATTGTCATGTGTGGTCTACAAATAGAAGGCCCAGAGCCTGCAACTTTGCTTTAGCTTCTCCCAGGCAAAGAGCCATGTTCACACAAAACTTGTTGCAGAAATGGTGCTGGAAACACCAAAGCTCAAATTCACATCTTCCTTAGTCACTACGGGCTTCTCTAAGTCACATCTGCTGAGACTGTTGGCTTCATCAGCTGGGAGATACTCTCCAGATTGCAAAATACCAAATGGATTTTAAGGCCACTTACTCCTATTCTAATTAAAGAAATCAAACCAAACAAGCAATGGAACCAAAGCAAAACCATTTTTTAATGCTGCTTGGCTGCAGAGAGGTAAAATGGAATCATTTGCTTTGCAAATGATTTGCAAAACACTCCCTCTGTTTAAAGTAACTGTTGGATACATGCAGAGAATGCTCTCAGTTCAAATGACAATATAAAGGTATTGAGGGCTAAATTAAACAGCTGATGTTTGTTCAAAGCTTGAAGAAGGGAAAACCTGGACAAGCACTGCTTTTTGTTATTCATAAACTTGTCCTTTTCCAGGTCAGGACTAGTCTTAATTAAGAAAGCATTTTCAAGTGTATATATATATTACATGAAAAATTATTTTATATAGGTAAATTTCTGTGTATCATTTCTCTATTGCAGCAGACCATAACGTCAGAGCTAATGTTTTTTTCTTCTTACTGACATGAGAGCAAATTAAACTCTACCTTATTTCTCTAGTTTGTTTTTTTTCTTTTAATTGACCAGTCTAGTTTTTATTGTACATGGCAGGAGCAGTCTGAGGACTCTAGCTAGAAAACATCAAATAATTTTCAAAAACAAAAGCATCTTCCATAGATTTCTTTCCTGTAGCTTTTCAGTAAGAAATCGAGTGTTGTCTGAGCTCCCCAAGCACAAGGTCATTGCCACCTGCAGTGGTTGGTGGTGCCTCTCCTGCACCAGAGTGTGTGTTCAGTGCAATGTGTTGTGATTGTGAACACCAGCTGGGAGGTTTAGCATTCCTGCTGGAAAGGAGCACAGCCTGGCTTATGGTCTGGGGTGCTGAGGATGTGCAGTAGGAGTTAAATCATAGAGTGGATCTCTGGCAGGGTTTCCAGGAGTTGAACAATGATAAATGGGGACTCTCTGAGTTAAGTCAATGACAGATTTTACTAAAGACTCTCTTTTTCTTTGTACTCAATCTCTGTCCTTAAAATTAATGTTACTTGTGGAGATGGGTACATTATGTGTGATTTTTGCTTCTCTTTGAAAACCACCCCATTATAAGGAAACTGCATCAGTATTTTTCCCCACATAAGTGAACAAGGACCCCGACGTGTCCACGTGTCATAAGAGAGGACACCTGCTGTGTATTTACATTTATTTATGCTCTTTGACTATGTGTAAAAATACAGTTTTACCTAGACCGTATTATAAGCACTTGAATGAGAATTGGGAAATTATGAATGTATTTTTTCATTCCCAAAGATAACTATCGAAGTTAACTATCCTACACACATCAGCACTTGCATTTCTGCCTCAGGCAGCTCAGTGAACAGAATTATTCGTGTAAACTTATTCTAGTTATGTAGCTGTACATCACTCTGTACGTTGAGAGGAGAGAAAAAAATCCTAAGGCTTCATGTAGCAGCACTGGAGGAATTTTAGCAGGCATGTGGCTGTATAATCCCATGCCTCTGAGAGCAGATTGAGTCATCTGGGAAGTATTTGACATAGTCCTGCTTTTAGCCAAAAGCTTTTGCATTTAGGAGAATACATATCAACAAGTAAAAACAAGATCCTATATTTAAAGTCAGTGTTGAGGACCAGATTTTGAACTGCTATAAACTTGACTCTATTATTATTATTACTTTTTACCAGCAGAGAATCTACTCAAGCTTATGAAAGGTACTTAGAAAATGACAGACTGCAAAACAAAACCAGAGGCACAATTTTGCACACACATATCGAATCCAGAACGGAAAAATCCAGAGATTAAGCACACAGACTTAAAAAAAAAAAAACACACAAAACCAAAACAAACAAACCACACTGCAAAACTGGTCGCTGCGGACAATTGATAGCAATTTGAGAGACTGATTATGAGCCTGGTGTAGTTTAACTGTATTTACTGGCGCTCCTGTGATACTTGCTTTATTGAGCATAGTCATTCTGATCATTAATTTCAGCATGGAATGGTTTATACAGGCTTTCGTGCATTAGCCTAAGTGATTCTTCACTAAAGAAAGAAATCAGTATGTTAGTGCGGTACTGGACAACTTTGAAGTTTGCAAAATTTAACTGCCCAGATGTTTCATGAAAGGCTTTCAATTCAGATAGTATTTTCAGCCTGGCTGCCTACCAGAAAATAAATACCCTTCAATTTTTCATGGAGCCAGGAGACTCTGACAGAGTTCTCTCCTCCCTGCCCCCTGCCTCGCTACCGGTGCCGAGGTGCCACAGTGACACCGCGTGGCCACAGGAGGGGCAACACAAAGAAACTTCAGAAATAAGAGAATAGAACTTTATCCTAAATACACATCAGGACTTTGTCTTGTCGCAGTCCTTCTGAAATAATGTTTGCTACAGCTCCACTCCTTTTATTTTCGTATTAAACCCCAACCACTAAGAAAGAAAACAAAATCTATTAATTACTGATCCAAGGAAAAGTACCAGATTTTCACAGTGAGATAAAGAAAGAAATAATAATACACTTGCTTGGAGTATTTTAGATTTTATTTTACTATCCGTGATTATTTCTTTGACGACTTTTAAGAAAGACTTTTTTTCCTCATAAGGAACTTAAGGTAGTTTAAGCTTTCTCCTCCGTCGCCTGATTTTATATGTTCTACACTGTTTTGCTGCTTCTTTTTATCCTTTTGCTTGTCACCAAAGGATGCTGAGTAACTTTTAGCTTCCCAGCAAGTCAGTAGTTTCAGTACATCACAGAATGCGATTCTGAGGTGGGTGAAGTAAGTAGTAGAAGCTGTAATTCCTTGTCCTAAGATTACAGTTTGAAAATCAAAATAGATCAAGATAAATCTAATAGAAGAGAATCCCCTCCTTTCTTGCAGTCAGTGAGTTAATAGATATTTCAGAAAGATATTTCTGCATTGTGGGGGGGAAAATTGGCAGGTGTCAGGCACATTTGTAATCCAAAATATTATATGCTCAGAGCCCAGAGCAAACACAGTTCAAAAGCAGCTGTGAAATATTTACATTGCTGTCCATGGTTTACACAGCAAAGGGTTGAAATGGAGTAGAGAAGCTCAGACTTGCTCATGCTGAATGATGAGAGGCTGTTCTGAGGTAACACAAAAAAGGTCAAGATCCTGTGGGGAAGCCACCGAAGAGACCCACGAAGAGGGACATTAAGAGACTAAAGTCTTTTCCCTGCCTTCTTTCACCTAGTCAAATCCTTCCTGATCTCCACAGGGGCCTGAAGACCTGCTAGGCCACCCCAGTAAAGTCTTCAATCCATTAAGAGAACCTATAGGGTGAAGAGGACTGGCCTTTCTTTTTATCCCCCCATGCCACCAACTGAGAGTATTTTAGAGCCTGAGCCTACCTCTGATAAGAAAGAGTCAAGATGGGACAACCTCAGGTTATAGATAACCCTCCTCAATGTCTTTAGTCCTCACTGGAAGCAGAGTCAGCCTTGGCTTGGCTATGATGTTCTTCCTCTAATGACTGTGAAGGAGAATAGCCTTAAAAAAGGTCCATCTCTGGTGCCTCTTAAGGCAACAGATTAGATAAGAGAGGGGAAGAAAAACAGCACTGAAGGGTAGTTGGAAATGGAGGGAATAGCAATGAGGACTTTTAGAGATACAGCCACCATCTCTTTTTTTTCTTTATAACACAAAAAACCTCTTCCTAAAGACCAACAATTGGCAGGAAAAGTGATAGTTAATGGGTCTTGTGCAAAGAAAAGCAGTAGGTGCAGAGCAAATCAAAAAGAGAGAAGCTCTTTTAGCCTGATTTGGGTTAGAAGGGCCCATGAGCATCACTTACTAAGCAAGTCTAAGTTGTCATGGGAAATACATGTTCCTCCAGGACTAAGGATCCAGCTGGAAATTACCCAGATCACAGGTTTGGAATCTCAGTCAAACACATTGCCTTGCACTCACTGGATATTTTTTTGAGTTGTAGGCAGGACCTTTTAAAAATTAAATTCAATAGATGGCCACTTAAAATAGTCTTGGAAAATATTTCCTAAAACAACCCCCTGCAACAGTCTAGTCTAAACCTACAGAGGTCAGCAGAAAGGTTTTCACTAAATTCAAAGAACTGAATATAACTATTCTTGTAAAGCCACTAATTATCCCCAAGGGCATAATTCCTGTCACTTTAGCAACTGGAGAGCCCAGCTACACCTCCAATTCTTCCATTAAAGGTGGCAAAGGCAGCCAGCCACCTCTACAGGAGACATAAATTTATGATCAGTCGATTAATTTGTTAGCAGCAGCATCAATAGAGACTGTATTGATTCAAACATGAGGAGAGTATATTGAAATATCCAGGCTGAAGTAAAATATGCCCAACAACAGAGGGGAACACCGAGTACCCTGCTGACATTTCCATGCGAGGAGAGAATGCTTTATACAGGAATACAGTGGGAACAAAATCAAAAGCCATTACCTGGAATCAGCCATTGATGCAGCCAATGTAAACCAGAGCAGCTGGTGGTCCAAGCAATGGGAAATTTTTAGATTACTCCATAAATTGATGCAGCTTGTCAGAAAATAAGGTGAGGAGCTTGGATGCGAGTGAAGCTTAATGAAGTAGGGCCTCTATATCAGCGTTTCCCTATTCCTACTCAGTCTTTACAAAGCTGATGCAAAATAAAATCAAACTGAGCCAGTGGTAGTGCTGTGCTTTCATGCAGGTCTGTAGGCACCAAGCAGGAAATACTGCTGTTCAAAACTGGCTCTTCAGAAGCAACCCTACACACTAAGATGGGAACACTGGTAAGTTCTCAATCATTTGCTGCAGAAGCTTTATTTGCTGCTTAAAAGTAATTTTAAGTATAGCAAATGCAATTGCATTGTTACTGAATAGGTATCTTCTTTCTAACTCCATTAGGTACATTTCCCATGCCCACTGGACCAACATAAATCTTCAACAGATGAAGTGGCAAAGGAGCACTTTGTGGTGTGTGTTCCCGAGCAACTGAAGGTTCCTTAGGTAATTAATAGTAGGGGAGGTTGTTTACATGATCCTTTTAGCAATGGCACAATGGCTTGACATCCCCTCCCTCCTAGAGAAAACTGATTGTACAGATATGGGAAACAGATCCACACACAGTGAAAAGCTGCAGTCAGTCCTCTTTTAGCACCACAGGGATTAAACCAAAATTGTAGTTCCCAGCTGCTGCAGGACTGTCTCAAGGCAGTGCCTCCCCAGCCCCTAAAGCCTGGTATCTCCCTGGGCTGTTCTGTTAAGAGCAGCTTTAGTCCTCATTCAGAAACCAGCTTATACATAAGGGACACTTTCCAACTTTGATTGTTCAGAGGTGTGCAGCATTTTCCTTCATTTAATAAGATTTTTTTAAATTATTAACTTCCTTCCCCTCGTCATACACATTATTCTTATGTCTTACCCTTATTCTCTTTGACACTAACTGCACACAGTGTCCCACAGCAGGTAACATCCTCATTTCCTAGCACATTCCATGCTCCAGAGGCCTGAGCTCGGCCAGATGCAGGGAATACACTCATCTGGTTAATGCTAATGCAGAGCATTCCAACCTCTGGGTGGGAAGTGCTGGGTATTAATCTTCCTGGCGTTGCCCTTACCTGAAACATCATCTTTTCTCTTCCATGAAACTTCTTGCTTCTCCTACCCCAGTAAATCCTGGGCAGAGAATATGATTTGTAACAGCACACCCAGCCAGGGGGGGTTTATAATGAGAGCCTCTGAGGACATTAAACAGACTTACACTTTCAAGGGCAAGCATGACCCTAGAAGTGGCTAATGTATGACAGGAGAAAATATTTAAGACAAAAAAAATAAGCGAGAGATAACCACAGTTATGATGAAATTTCTGGGGATTGTGAAAACTGGACAAGAAGAAAATGCATGGAGAGATGAGTTGTGCATGGTTAGTAGCAGCAGTTTCTGGAAAAGGTGTATCTCCTGGCCCTGCTCCATCTCCAGGTGCCATAAAGGCACATAAACAACAATAGGAAAACACACACGAGAAGATAAGTCCCTGGGAAAGAACAGATTATAAATGAAACTTTGAAACAGGTTATGTCTGCAGCACAGCCAACCCTGCTCTGCCTGTCCAAAGGAAAGAGAGGATGGATTCACTGAATTCTTGCAGCAAAAGTACTGGCCCAGGAAGGACCACTTCTGACCCCAGCACCTCCTCAGAACATGAAGAGGTACAGGGATATTTTTTTTTTTTTGCAACAGCTTTTGCAATATTTATCCCAATCAAGGATTTAGAAAGTCAACTTGTTCTTTTTTGTTCCCTGTAAAATCACTAATTTTTAAGAACCACTTATTTTAAAAGCAGCA